AATGGTGTGTGGGGGAGAGCTGGAGGCTGAACAAGGAGCACTCTCCTGGGTCGGTTATTTGGCCATCTGCGAAGGCTTTGGACGACAGGGAGCCAGGCCGACATAAGCTAGGCTCAAGTTTGGTGCTCAGCACAGGACACACAGTTCTCATCAAGAAGGCCAATGACTTTGATAAGGAAACATCAACCAGGGAAGATGGGAAAAGTGAGAGATCACAGAAGAGATTCCCTCCTCACCACCACCTCCACCTCCACCTCCACTACACCACCAACCATCATCACCACCACCTCCTCTACTACCTCCACCACCATGACATCACCACCACCACCATCACCACCTCCACCACCATGACATCATAGCCACCACCACCCCTTCCACTGCCCCCATCAAAGCTCCGGGGGCAATGTAGGTGACACACACAGGCAGCCCCTGCTGGGGTAAAAGGAAAGCTTGGGCTTGCACCTTGCAATTCAGAGTAAATCCGCTTTGACAGCACAGCTACTTCTGTGAACTAAGAGCAGAGCATCTTGGAGCTAGAAGGAAGTTCAAGTAGCATTTAATCCACATCCTCCGGCACTGCCACCAGCTGTCCCTACGGCCGCCACCATTAGGAAGGAAGTGGACTCAGTCCAGGCTGGGTCCCAGTTCTGAGCCTCCATGGACAGGAAAGTCACACCACTTTCCCTGACCCTCGATTCCAATGACCACAGCATGTGGCACAATGAAGGGCCTGCTGGGGTTGAAACTCATTTCCACTTTCACCTGAAAGCCTTGCTTATCTTCGTCAGTTGTTAGGAGCGGCTGTCTTCAGGGCGTAAGATAACGGTAAGTGTCCTACCTTCTTGTCTGATTGCATTTTGTAACCTCTGTGAATTTTTTCTGGCCCCCACCCGACTTCTCTCTTGTGCCACTGATTTCATTGCTTTATTCTCTCTTCTCCCCAGGTCAGATTCTTCTAGTTGCACCTAGAGGTTGAGACCTCAGGGCGGGCCGAAGGTCCCATGGATGACACCCATGAGGGAGGAGGTGGAAGTCTAACGAAGTGCAAATGACTGGGCTCCTGGCAAACAGTAGGGAGCTCGCCTGGCAGAGTGGCACTTAAATCCTAAAGTGGGGGGTGGGGACCAACCTGCCACCTTTCCCAGCACTGCTTCCTCCCTCCTTCATTTCAGGATCCTGCATCCTCTCTAAATGAATAAGTATGGGGAGCGCCCAGTGGGAATCTTGCTGGTTTGGGCCACTCAGACATACGCCGTCAGCAGTTGCGTCAATGGTAACTTGGGTCCCAATGCCAAACACTATGGCCCATGGGATTTACACCTGCAAGGTTCCTCAGTCCTCTAAGCCCCACCAGGGCCATGGAGACACTTCTGGTCCCTAATACAAATCCCTGGAAACAGTGATTCACCAACCTCAGTCACCGTCAGCTTGGTGTCATGGCAACAGACACCACATCCTGAGCAGATGGCATGGCAGACTGCCTCTGGGCCGCAGCCTGCCATGGCCAGGCAATCTTGCCAAGTTGGGTCCCTCTGTCCAAATGGCAGGAAGTAGTTCCTGGACACTATTTAGAGGGGTCAAAATGCACCCAGAGCATGGTCGAGCTGAGCTGAGAGGCAGGGAGAGAGCACGGCTAGTTTGGGCTGAGGCTGGCAGGGGCAGTAAAATAAACAGCTGAAAACATCGCACCTGTGGGTCTCTTAGCTCAGCCGGCAGGCTAAGAAGAGTAGACGTTGAACAAGGCTGAAATGCGCATGGGTCAGTAGTTATCTGGACACTGAGCGGACATGGCCTTGGACAGATTCAGGGCCATTCCTCCAAGGTAGGTGAGAGGAGCTCCCAGCCAACATTATGTAGGCCCCACTCCTTGCCCCTGTTGGCTCTTTTTGCCCTCCATGGTGCACTACGGGGCCGCATTGGGTGAAGACTAGCGTCCCACCACCAGTTCCCACCAGAGGAGTGGAGAGAAACCACCATTCTTCAGGGTCTGCATTTCTGTTCTTTGTACACCCCACCCCCTGCCCCATGGCTGGTACCCAATAGGCACCCAGAGGTGTTTGTTGGGACAAACTGAGCCGGTCAACAGGGCATGATGCAAATCCCTTGGTGACCTTTGCCCATGACTGGGGTGAGGGTGTGTGTGTGTACGCGTGTGTTTTGAAAGCAGGAGGTCAGCTGTAGAGCATTTTGCGAGACATGAGCCCCGACAGCACGTTCAGCTCTGACTTACTTGGTGCAGGGCGATAAACTGGTGTTTCATTTCCTGCTTTGGAATTCTTTCCAGTCACAAGACCCTTGGCGTCTCCCAGGCCCACGGCCAATGTTGGAATGAGGATGAGAGCCAAGCATGCCCACACAGACAGCAGTTTGCCTTTGCCAGGTGGGGGCATTCAGAATGTACGTGTTTTCTCCTTTCTCCTCCATCGTCTACAGCTTCTGGTCCCACGAGGGAGGCTGTTTTAGGGTGTCCAGCTAAGGTGACAAGTACCAGCAATAGGTCAGTCCAGAACCTCACCATCAGCCCCAGGCCCGGCGCTGATGATCAGAAGGACCAACAGACGGAGGGTCCAAGGCAGGAGAAGTGCACCTCCCCCCAGCATGTGTTCACGTTAGCGCTGCGCACTTACAGTCTCTAGAAGCTACAAGTTGTGGGGGTCAGACAAAGGAGTACCACAAAAAATGCATTTCCTACTTCCGGTTTTATTGGGAGCCTCAGCAAAGACACAGAGGTTTATCCCCTGCAAGGCAGTCCCCACTGCATACCCACACAACGTGTTTGAGAACGGCGGGCATCAGATGGGGCGGCCATGACGCTCAACAAGTGAGTCCATAGTCAAAGGCTTCGAGGCTGTTCTGAAAGTAGAGGTTCAGGAAGCCCAGGAAGGTGCACTTATCGATCATAAGGGCACACACTGAGGGGTCCTGCCTCATGGATGCCATCCAGAGCTTGAGTGTCGGGGTGTGGTCCACGCAGCTGCGGGGCAGGGAAGAAGTGTGAAGTGTGAGCAAACCTGCAGGGAAGAGCTTGGGAGAGTCGCAGAAGCATTTCTAGACTTACGAGACACTACAGCCACCAACAAAATGGGTTTCTTTGGGGACGACTGACTGAGTAATTGGGTGTGCTCTGTACCAGGGTGAGTACTATCCCTGCACAATGCATGTCCTCCCAGAACTGTAGAAGGCGAGGTCTTAGGGAGCTCGTGTCCTTGCAGAAGCAATCACTCGAAGATCAGGTTCACTGTCGTTGGCTAGGTCCTAGATCCGCACAGCGGGATGGGCCATGTGAAGAAGACACGCAGGAAGAGGCCCTCGGTGGTGATGGAGACAGGGGCTGGAGTGCAGCCACAAGCCAAAGGACACCAAGCCCTGCTGGGAGCCCCCTGAGGCTGCAAGAGGCAAGGAGGGGCCTGGAGCCTGGGGAGGGCATGTGGCCCTGCCAACAGCTTGAGTTCAGTCCCCAGCCTCCGGCACAGAGAAAGAACGCGTTTCTGGTGTTGCTAGCTGCCTGGTGTGTGCCCTTTTGCTACTGCAATGCTAAGAAGCAGATGCATGCTCCCTTGGCAATCAGTAGGCTAACCGAGACTCAGATTATGACCAAGAAAACCCTCTGGAGTCCTTCTATGATGCAAACCTGGCGTTCCCACTAGTCAGACTCTACTAGAAGGCAGTGGGTTGGTTTGGGGTGATTATCAAGTAAGTATAATCCTTCCCTGGAGCAAAATCCCATTTTCTGTGTAGCTGGTTATGTTTTTGAATTGTGTGCGTTGCTGTTGCTTCCAGCAACACAGCTGGAGTACACCCGTGGCCAGACAGCCTGGGGAACGCCGTGTTCCCACTTCACAGTGCAACACCAAAAAGAAGTGTTTCTGGGGTGGCTCTTCTCCTCTTGTCCTTCCCAGTTTCCCCGTTCAGGGATGCGGGCATGGGCAGAGGGGAGGGTGGGAAGACAAGAGGCTTCTGAAATATTTTCCGCAGTGAGCACAATAGGCCTGAGTCCCTTGAAGAGTGGTGCTGGCAAGGGCCCTGCAGAGGAGGAGGAGGAAGAGGAGGAGGAGGAAGAGGAGGAGGAGGAGATTCCGTTGCAGGGTGTGGAAAGCGACTTGCTCAGGATCCTGCAACCGGCTGCTGAGACGGGGTCCAGAGGGGAGGTCCACGCCTCGGTCCTCCAAGGCAACACCATTTAGGGAATATAAATGCTTGAGCCTGTGTTTTAAATAGCCAACCACTTTGCATCTGAAGGACATCCGACAACCCTTGGCCGACTGGAGCTTGTGCGCAGTGCTGTGGGCCGGCTGCCTCCCATCCTGGGAGGACAGGAGTGCATGGGCCCACAAAACTGCGGGCTGGGATCAGAGCAGGAGCTGGAACAAATCCAGCATCTACAGTCTTCCCCGGTCTCCCAGGCGAGTTCCTCTCCACGGCTGTAATGCTGGGCTGCTAACGGACAGGTTGGAGATTTGAGTCCACGCACAGGCGCCTGGGAGAAAGGTCTGGCGATCCATCTCTGACTAGCCAGCCACAGGTCTAGGAGATGGAATCCCCCTGCTTCAGGGTGCTTGGTCTTGGAGTCTGTTTTGTTTAACCTCGCATACATTACTTAAAAAAAAAAATCTCTGTAAAGGGCATTTCTGTTAGGGAAACTCCCACAGGGGATGAGCAGTGATGAAGGTCAAACACATCTGCTGGGTGACTCTGCAGGACCAGGTGGGGGACCAGAGAGGGAGTTGCAGACCAGTCTCTAAAACATGACCGTGAGGGGGGACAAGCTGCAGACTCCCCAGTCTCCCTCCCAGGCAAGTTCTCCATTTGCTTTCCCTACCAGCCCATGTTCAGAGGGGTGCTGCGGACAGTGGGCACTAAAGTAACAAGGTGGGGGGAGGGAGGGAAGACAGGGTTGGACACAGGGTGCTAGCAGCAGAACCAGGGGTACAGCCTGGGCCGGCAGGTAGTGGTTTAAGAACACCAGAACATGTTTAACCAGGGAACACATTGTACCGATGCAAAAGCCTGCCTTCGTGTCCCATCCATCCTGAAACACATCCCCACATCCAAACCACACCCGTAGCCGCTGAGTCACCTCTGACTCACAGCGACCCTGCAGGACAGAGCACAGCAGCCCCAGAGGGATGGCCAACCTTGACAGAGGCAGACTGTCACCGCTTTCCCCCACAGGGACTGAATCGGGGCCTCTCCCTTGGGAGCCCAGCACTTAAGCCTGACACCACCGAAGCTCCTCGAGATGACTGAGGAGCCACGGGGGCAATGCGTGGCACCCCGGCTATTTCAACGCACGTTACTTAGTGCGGCTCCCAGGAATTCACGCCCCCACAGCCAGATGTCTTACTCAGCGATCCCGTATACATCCAGTCGCTCAAACCAGGGCCAAAGGAGGTAATCAATCATGGTTATACAGTTCCCGCCGAAGAAGCAAGTCTTCTGATAGCAAAGAATCTAAAACAGGGAAACGGAATACAAGTCAGTTCATGTCCATACCCCTTTCTCATAGTCACAGGCACTGAAAATACCAACATCAAATGCACTCCCAAAGAGAGAGAGAAGGGAGGCTTCGGTGCCCTTCCTGTTTGTTAGCAGAATGCTCTTCCCTTCCTGCCCACAGCCCTGGGGCGGCGGCACGCCTGGTTGTGCAGGGTCATGTCGGCTCCCCCTCGTCTTACCTGGTGGGCTATTAGTCAGGCTTCTCCAGGCAAGCCCACCCAGGCCCACTCTCTGGGGATGCAACAGGTGTAAGCTCTCCCTGATGAGCTCTGCCCCGAGGAAGAGGTCTGGCCTCAGGCCAGCACTACCTGGGGTCGGGGGAGGCTCCAGGTGAGCCTCAGCCTGATGCCGAGGGGCAGTCATAGGAGCCGCTCTGGCTGCAAGCGTGCTCTGCAGTCTCCAGGGTCAGCTCCGTCGGGAATACAGGGATGAGCAGGGCCTCTGTGTGCCTTACTCCTTTGCCCGACTCCTCCATTGGTTCCAAAGGAAGGTGAAGGAGGGCTGTGCTGGAGAATGGGCTCCCGCAAGTGCTCACGTCACCTCTCAGCCACTCTCTCTCTCTGACTGTGTGAGCTCGGGGAGTGCGCCCTGTTGACTGCTCCACACGGTCACCCTGTCGCATTAAAATGAAAGTTCTTATTCCCAAGCAAGACAGACCCACTGAGCGAGATGGACCGCCAAGGAAAACAAACATGTCAATCTCCACCAAGAGGAGGGGGCCAGACGCAGCCAAAGAGTTATCTGGAAACTTTGCAGAGAGAATGTGCTTAGAAGCAACCTGTTTGGTTGGCTTTTTCTGCCGTGAATGATCTGGATTCCCGGCCCAGGTGAGTTGTGGGAAGGCGTTGATTCCATCCTGAGATGCTGGGACTCTGGTGAGGGGCAGAGGATGACAAGAGTCAAGCTATGGCTGGTGGGACTGGAAAGCAGTCCAACCCTGGGGAAGAGCTGCCTGGCGCTTCCTCCAGCAAGCAGTTGGGACTAGAGACCCCACATGAGCCGCCGAGAGCACTGCTCAGCACATAGCCGACAGGAATGACCCAGCGCGGGCCGGCATGTGCACACCCACGTTCATCGCAGAACTACTCACAACAGACAGAAGATAGAAACCACCTGAAGGCCCGTGGTAGAGAATGGATAAGCTTGGTCCATACACACCATGGGATGGGGGGCACTGGGAAAGAACAGTGGTGAAACGCTCATGGTATGGATGGATGGAGATGAACGACATCACGCTGAGTGAAGGCGGTCTGATACTGTGGTTAGAAAAATCAAGGAGGGATTTTCACACCCAAAGAAACAGACTTTGAGGGTGACCAGAGGTAGGATGGAAATGGAGGCGAGGGGAAGCAAGAGGCTGGAGGGTGGACAGGTGTGAACTTGGATGAAAGGAAGATCATATACCACAAGAATGAGATGGAGCCAGTGGGGACAGGACAGGCTATTGGGAGGTATGATAAGTTGTTGAGATTGTTGAATGCCCAAATGCTGAGCTGATCTGCAGAAGGCTTGAGAGGAGAAAAAGAGCCAAGCTCTAAGTTAGGTTCCCAGGTCAGGACTGGCCCGACACTCAGCCTGACTCTTCAGATGCCCGACCGACCGGCCTGATGACTCACAGTGGGAATCTTTGGGCTGTAGTTCTGAAGGGGCGGTCCGGAGCCAGTACACCTGGACTTAGGCTGGGTTCTACCTCTGATTCCACGTGGAGCTCAGGGGGACAGACTTACCTCCTTCTCCAAACCTGTTTTCTCATCTGAAAAGTGGTGTGAATATCAGTGGCCACCTCAAAGGCTACAGTGAAGATTCTAATACAAAAGGAAGCAAGGAAGCATGCACTCTAAGCCCATGTGATAAACGTGAGCTGTCGTGATGTAAAGGGCCCTGGGGCTGGAAGGCTGCATCTGCAGACAGCAAACCCATCCCTGGCAGAAAAGATCAGTGGGCTCTCCCACCAACCACCCCTTTCCAGAGGAGAAAGCCAATCGTGCTGTCCCAGAGCCCAGAGCCCCATCATCTCCCAGTGTGGAACAGGGAGGAACCCTCTGCTGTCTTGGAGTCTGAGAAAATATTAGGTGGCCTGGTTTTTTTCCAAGAAGCTAATGGCCTGGTGCGAAAACAGTAGAATCTGGCCAACAACAAAAAATCAAAACTGAGGCTATTTTCAGTCTTGGGTAAATAAGATCTGGCTCCGAAGGGAAATGAACTGTTTTTATGCATTCCCGAAAGCCTCGAAGCTTCTTCGTGTGCAAGAACAGATGGCAACTGCCCAAACTTTTGTCACTAACATTGCAACATTCAACACCTCCAGTTGGTTATTGGATTTATAGACAAATCAGAACCAAATCTAAGCTGATCGGAGCTGGGGCATCCGGGTCTTAATCCTGCGTGCCAGAGCAAATGTGTTCCTGGAATAATTCTTGGACAAACTGTACGGATGTTGAGGACCATGTACAACCACCCATACAGAGAGCAAAGAGTCTCACAATAAACAGCATCACAATGAACAGGGGGAATTACTGATGTTGCCAAACATTTCAATCTACTTGGATCCACAATCAACGCCCCCAGGGAGCAGCAGTTAAGAAACCAAACGAGGTACTGTATTGGGTGAATCTGTTGCAAAAGATGTCTTAAAAGTGTTAAGCAGGCCAAGATGTTATTCCAAGGATGAGGTTGCACCTGACCCACACCATGGTTTTCCCATTGCCTCATATGCATATAAAGCTGGACAACAAATAAAAAAGACTGATAAAAATAAAAAAGGATCGATGCACTTGAATTATGATTTTGGCGACGAATACTGAATTTGCCAGAGGCTGCCAGAACGAACAAACCTGTGTCTAAAGAGGTACAGCCAGAAGGGTCCTTAGCAGTAAGGCTTTGAGAAAAAAAAAAAAAAAAAGGAAGGAAGGCTGTGAACTGGTCCCAATCTTTCTGGTTCAATAATGGCCAGCGACGTGCAATCAGAACGAACCCCAACGTTTAAGAACCGTGGCGTACCAGATCGAGAGCCCAAGCAGGACACAGCACAGTGAATCGCTCAGTGTGCACACTGCACGGCGACCACGTCCAGGCTGGCAGAGTCAGAAACAGCGGTGGTGCACACTCACAGGGGGCCGGCCACCACCCCTCTGCAGGTGCGTTCTTCTCCGCAGTCCTGGCAGCGATCCAGTCTCTTCTCCTGAAGGGGCTCACTGTGTGTCTTCCGAGTCTCCCAGTCAAGGGTCTTGGCGTGGAATTCTTCCCGTTCCCACATTTTCACACGTTTGGGTCTGCTCTGATTTTGTTTCCTTGGCCACGACTGAACAAGTTCCAAGCAGTGCACAGTTCTTCTTTGAAGGGAGGAGATGGGGACTTTGGCTCACGTACTTTGCACATCTTATCAGAAGGGAACACCCCTGGAGAAGGATATCGAGCTGAGTAAAATAGGTCAACACACACACAAAGACTCTCAAGCTGGGTTCTCTCGAAGAACCGGACTAATAAAGTGTCTAGGAGGGGGCTTCAAAAGGCTCGTGGGGAAATTCCATCCTCTTTTAATCCTACTTTCCTCAAACTTCCCGAAGCCCCCTCACACAAAGACGCACCAGTGCTGACAGATGAACGGCTCACACAGCTGTGCGAGCTGGAAAGCTCCAAATCCACAAGTCAGACATCAGGCTGGCGGCTTCTCCTGACACACAGGATTTCAGGGGTCACAAACCAGTACATTGGCAGGTTAGACAGCGGCTGCTGGATCAAGGGGCTACAGGGGTTGGCAAATCCCCAAATCTGCAGGTCAGGCTGCAAGACACTGGTTCAAGTCCAAGAACTGGATGTCAGATGAAGGCCAAGTAGATACAAGATCAAGACCGAGAGCGAGCTTTGCCAGAACATCAGCATGTAGTCACGAGCCATTGAACGTCTGCTTGGGCAACATTCAGCTGCATACACTTCCTGTAAGAGTGATGTCTCAGTTCCACACCTTTGCTCTGCAGCAAATTAACTTAAACTAGGCATGCGAGCAGAAGCGGACCAACACCTGAACCCAAGAGCAAAAACTACCAGGCAAAGGAGCGGAGCCCGCTCCCTGGCCCATGCACACAATCCCATAGTAGCTGATGGCAGCTTTCCCAGCAGCCTTGCCCTCAGTCTCCATTTTTGAACACCCAACTACTACAACCCCACCCATGGAGACCCCATTCCTAGAATTCTCCCCCTCTGTTCCTGAATAAATGCAGTGTCCTTCTTGCTTAAACTCCCTGAGAAACCATGGTCTGTGCTGTCCTTGGCCCCTACCACATCTCCCATTTCAAGAGACTTCTTTCCCTAAAAACCCAGTAAGCTTGGCGCCTGCCTCGTTCTTCTTAACTGGCGAGGGAAAGAGCCCCATCTGTAGGGCACTCCTGCAATGAGATTAGGAAAAATAAAAACTAGGAAAAACGATCAAAACCTTCATGGAAAACAGTATCAGAATATGGAGCCAGGGGGTCCTACAGGGTCCTTTACGTCAATATAGACTTGGAGCTTCCTGGCAGTCAAAGTGGAGAGGCCAACTACGCTGATTCTTGCCTTCCACATGGAAGCACACCCTTGTCTCCAAGCTCCATTTAGCAGAGGAGGCGATCCAGGCCCAGGCCAAGGGCTCCCTCGTGAGTGTTGGATCTGAGTCATTCCCAGACTAGTGTCAATTCTTGTCCTTCAACTTCCAATATGTAATTAGGAGAACTCTAATCACTCTCATGAAAGAAGTTTCAGCAAGTCTATGGTGAATTCTTTGCTAGCTCTTTCCATTTAAATAGGGGAAGTCTGGAATCTGCAAGCTCTTGAACATTTCTCCTTCCTTAGATTAAAAACACACACAACCAAAATGCGCCCTGCTCCGCCCTCCCGCTCTGCCCTCCTCTTTCTCACTCTCGCACCTGAGCAGGGACTCACAGCCCGTTTGGTCCTCTTTTCCTCTATCAACCAGGTCT